AGATGGAATAAATACAATAATGAGAAATGGTCTTGAATTAGAAGATGCAGTAGAATCCAAATGGGTGGAAGTAACAAATAACAAGGGGAAGAAGTCGCTGCTAGGAATTGTCTATAGGCACCTAACAATAGCAATATGGTGGGACAGAATAAATCATGAAGTAATTACAGTGTGTAAAGCAAGCAGTGTATTAATCATGGGTAACTTTAATCTTCATGTCCATTTGGAAAATCGGTTGGGCATTGGTAGCCCATGACTACTTTGTAGTAAATTCGGGACAATTTTTAATAGAACAACATCTAACCAGGAGCCAAGTTGTTTTGGTTTTGGTAATGTGTAATGTAGCAGGTTTAATAAATGATTTGAGAGTAAAAGAGCCCCAATGGAACAGTAATCCCATTAAATTATATAGCTTAGTGTTTAGTTTGAGAGTGAGAAACGTTGGTCAGAAACAACTCTGCCAAACTTTATTAAGGGCAATTAGGAAAGATTGAGGGTAAAGTTGGCTGGACTAGGGAAAGAGTTTAACAGAAAATGCAATTGATGAACAATGGCAGACATTTTTAAAAGATATTCATTATTCGTAACAAAAATTATACCCCGGTAAAGAAGGAGATAAACTAACCATGGTTAACCAAGTTACGGATTGTATCAAATTGAAAGAAAAAAGTTAAATGTGGCAAAGTGGTAAGATAACAAAAAATAATAACGAAGAAAATAAACTGAGGGTAAGCAAGTAAGATCAAAGCAGACTGTAAGCGCTTCTTTAAATATGTAAAATGGAACAGAAAGGCTAAAGTGAACATGAGCCCTGAAGAGAACTTGGGGACATTATGGGGAAGTAGGAATTTGCAGAGGAGATGAATAAATACTTTGCACCAGTCTTCATGGTAGAAGGCAGTATTAGCATACCACTAGCAAAGCACCAAATAATCAAGGAACATAAAGGTGGAGAAGAATAAATACAATAATTAGGGGCAGCATGTTGGCTCAGTGGTTAGCACTGCTGCCTGATAGTGTCAGGGACTCGGGTTCGATTCCAGCCTGGGGCAGGCCTCTGTGTGAAGTTTGCACGTTCTCCCCGTGTCTGTGTGGGTTTCCTCCTACAGTCTAAAGATGTGCAGGCTAGGTGGATTGGCCATGCTAAATTGCCCATTGTGTTCAGGGATGTGTAGTTTAGGAAATCCAAGGGTAGGGAGTGGATATGGGTGGGATGCTCTTGAGAGGATCAGTGTGGACTTGATGGGCCAAATTGCTTGCTGCCACATTGTAGGGATTCTGTGATTATCACCAGAGGAGAGGTACAGGGAAATATTATGGGGCTAAAGGCCATTTGATCCCCTGGACCTGATGGGTTGCATCCTAGGGTATTCAAGGAAATAGATACAGAGGTGGTGGATGCTTTTACAGTAATCTTTCAAGAATGCGTAGATCTTGGAAGAGTCCCAGAGGATTATAATGGAAGAAAAAAATAGATAACTGTAGGGCATTTAGCTTAACATCTGTCAATAGGAAAATTTAATAGCGGAGCACTTAAAAATTCATAATATAACTAAGCAGAGTTAGCTTGACTTTACAAAGGAGAAATCACACATAACAAATTTATTAAATCCTTTTGAGGAGGTAACAAGTAGGATGGATAATGGGGAATCAGTTGATGTAATAAATTTACATTTCCAAAGGTGTTCAGTAAGGTTGCACACATAAAGCCTACTTAATAAGATAAGAGCCCATGATGTTGGGGTAGTAGATTGGGGCATTGACAGAGGATTAGCTAGTTAAAAGAAGGCAAAATTGTGATAAGGTGGTGTTTTCAGGATGGCAACTGGTAACCAGTGAAGTGTCACAGGGATTAACATTGATGACTTTGATGAGGGGAAACTCTGCTTAACAGTACGTAAGTGACAGATCCTGTTGATGTATTTGGAAGAGAGTGAGAATGTTCAGCAAGGTTTTAGAGAATGACACTTTTGAAGAATGTTGAGTGGGAAGGATCTGTTTTTGGGGGAAGAGAGACTGATAGTTTTCTTTGTGCAACATTTAGCTTAAACATAATGTGTTATACCTGGATCAACATTTAATATTTTAATGCATGTTTTATCTTGTATTATTTTCTCCAGTTCTCGAACCAATCGGAGCTTCCAGATGCTAATCAGCAGCTGCAACTGGTTCTTGAAGAAAAAGCTCATTTAATGGCACAGATGAATGAAGTAAGGATATTTGGCTGGAAATCACTGAGCATGACTTCAATCTGTGCACAATGCAAGGGAGTTCTTCACTGTTGTGTGTCTGTGTACTGTTCAGTCAGTTTCTTGTGTGCCATGGTTGGCAACAGCAGAGAATTATAGGAAAATTTCTTGCAGATTAATTAATTCCACCTTTCAGAAAGTTTTGCAATTGGAAGAAGGTTAGGAAGGACATATGTACCTCAAACACTTACCTATATTTTCTGCCATATCCTTTGACTCCCTCATCAATCAAGAGCTATCTAACTCAGCCTTAAAAGTATTCAGTGATCTAGCCCTCCACTGCTACCTGGGAGAGAATTCAGTGGACTAATTAACCACAGAATAAAATCTTAATTTCCAACTTAAAAGAGAGATGACTTATTCTTAAACTGTGTCCTCTAGTTCTAGTCACTCCCAAAAGAGGAACCTTCTGCTCTTGCCCCTCCCCTCAGGATATTCTTGGTTTCAATAAGGTCATCTCTTGTTCTTCTGAACTCCAGTGAATACAAGCCCAACCTGTCCAATGTTTCCTCGTCAGGTAATCCCTTCACCCCAGATCAGTCGAGTGAAACTTGTTTGTGGGGAACCCTGTTTTGTTAACACTGAAGCAAGGAGAGGAAGCATAGGGTGTTGCCAGAGTTGAATTGAAACGAAATACCAGCTCAGGGTCAGAACCTGATGTGAAGGAATTTGTTGGTAGCTGTTACTGTCTGCATAGATTTTGGAACGCTCATTTTAGTCACCTGTTACTTGGTGTACAATTGGCCAAGCTCATCAATAAAGTGCCCAAACATCTAAAATCTGCATAGAATTGGATAAAACGTAGAAGCCTAGAAACCAGGAGTGGGAGTAGGCCATTCACCTTTTTCAACTTGTTGCACCATTGTGTGTGACCATACCCTGATCCTTATCTCAAAACTATGTTCCCCATTCCTCATTACCCTTGATGCTTTTAATATCTAAGAATGTATAAATCTCTTTCTTGAACATATTCAATGACTTGCCTTCCACAGCCTTCTGTGGTCATGAATTCTGCAGGTTGACCACCCTCTGAGTGAATAAATATTTCCTCATTTCGTTCCTAAATGGCCTACCTTGTATCCTGAGACATTGACTCCTAGTTCTAGACTCCCTAACCAGGGAAACTATCCTTCCAGTATCTAATCTGTCAAGCCCTGTTTGAATTTTATATATTCAAATCAGATCCCCTTTCTTCATTCTAAACTCTAGTGAATACTGGCCCAGTTGGACTAATTTCAGCTCGTACAACAGATCTGCTATCCCCGGTATTAGCTTAGTTAACCTTCGCAAATATGTCCTCTCTTAGGTAATAAGACCAAAACTGCGCACACTACTCCAGATATGGAATGCAAAGTTTTTGCTGAAAAGGTGATACTTGTTACCCTGTTTAAAGGATGGTTGAATTTTGTAATTGTCAAGACCTTTTGTTTTGCTGATTTCATGCATGTAGTACATTTAAAAATCAACTTTCTTTCATTGCTATATTAGTAAGAGAATTAAACTGGAAAGAAAATTGTTTTGTCTGTCCCAATAAGTTAGAAACAATGAATTCTACAGAGAGGTAAAAATTACCAATGTTCTCAATCTCAAATCCAGTTCCATTATTTTTGCAGCTTTCAAAATCACAGCAGCTGCTACTTGTTGAGCGAGATCAATATGCCCACAAGCTGGTGGAGGAGGGCAGTGTTTGGCAGCAGAAAGTTCAGCAGCTGGCACAACAAGTAAGTGGCAACATGAAGGATTAGGCATGTCATTGAAAATGCTATCCCAATCCCAGCTGAATAATGTATTCTAATTTTACAGTTTCAAAGACAAAAGCCGCACAGGTCATGTGTTCAGTTTTCAAGTTGAAATGTAAGGTTTTAAAAAAGCCTGCACCATAAGATTGGATAGAATCATGCAGAGCAGTGGGACGCAATTTGGCCCATCCTGCCTTTGGGTTGTTCTGTCAAAAGAGACTGCAGTACTTTACCTTCAATGCACTTGCTTCTTCCCTGAAACCTGACAAATATTTCATTTTAAAATGTACATTCACTTTGTATTCGAAAGTGAATCAAGTTTTCCCTTTATCAGGCAACTGTCATAATTTGCTATGTATGGGTGGGATGGAATGGAGAGGAGAGAGGAAAAAGGAATTATCCTCTCCCTCATCTCCCCCTTACCCCCTTCCCTACCCACCCACCCACGCCCCCCCAAAAAAAACTATTTTGTCCAACATTTTATATATTTTCTGCATGTCACTTGGATGTTGACTTTGCAAAACTGATTGTGGGCGTTTCGATATTTGTGGAAGGACTGTCCAGATTAGCATTGGCAAAAGGCCAATGATTTACCTGCAGCTGGAGACTGATTGGCAATGAAAGGTAGTCTATGTCGCAAGGGCAGACGAGACAGTGCAATTGCAAAATTTCTTAGAATGATTCAGTGCACAAGACCATATGACCCCTTGTACCTCTGACAGGTCTTTGTGGCAACAACTGTATTTGCAGTAATTTAAAATTAAACAATATACAAAATCTCGCACTTTCTTTGGAAAAAAAGCACCAAATAGCAATTTCAAACGTCCTACTGTACACATCGTTTGTAATGCATGTTTGATTTTTAATTGTTGGCTTGCACACTGCTGAATTATTTTATTCATTGAGGAATGTAAGTGGGTACATAATCTTAGGAACCACTTGCACAATTTTCTTAAGTGCATTTCTAGTTAATGTGGCTCCACTTTGGGAACTCACACCGGTGAAATGAACTTTGTTCTCTCTGTGTAGTCATGTATTATTTTGCCTTTGCAGATAAATGCACTTTCAGAGGAGAGGGAGAAGAATCTCAGCCATGTGCAGGAGCTAGAGGCCTCGTTGACTGATCTCCAAAAGAGATCAGGTAATTCTGTAGTTTTCACGGCAATAGACTTAAAAGTTCTTTGCTTGCAATAGGAATTGAAATTAGTTCATTTGTTCATAGTAGTAGATCTGTCACTCGGAAAGGAATCCTGGCTGTATTTCCTTATTTCTGTATGCCACCTATTTGTCTAGATGTTGGAAGTGATTTACTCCAAGTGGAACCATGTTAAATGTGCCTGTGATCCAAGGAATTTATACTGCATCAAACATATTTGTCCAGATGCTCTACCCGCATGTGCACTTAAATTTTTTTCTTATTCTTTTATGATAGGACCTGGATTTGTAGAGTTATCTAGCCAGTCCTGTTGCCCTGCACTCTCCTTACAGTCCTTAAGCAAGGCTCAGAGTAAACAGCAATAGCAGATAAATTCACCCTCTATTTTGCAAGTAGCTTGCAAAAAATCAAAGCCAATGGTGAAGATTTCAAAGACCTTCTCTCAACCCCATCCATATGTGGCATAAGTGGGGAAAGGATAGGTTAAAAGCAGCAAAAGCTCCAATGACGGCTTCCCTCCCTTCTGCCCTTGCTGCTCCTTCAGAGACAGAATCTATCAATAGGGGAGCAGCAAGGACGGGACTAAGGGGAACCCATGATTGGACTTCAAGGAGCAATTACCTTGGATGAGGACACTTTCATATACTTTATTCTCATGGACTCCTTTATTTTGATGCAGTCACAGAGTAATGTTGCCTGACATATTTACATTGAAATTTTTTCCAGTTTTCTGCAGAAAAGTACAGCATTGCAAATAGCAAAAATTGTGTGTGTACATATATGCACGTTGTAACCAACATCCCTCACCTTGCTCCCCAACCGTATAGACATCAGAATCATTCCTCCTTTTACCATACACAGTAACCACTCCTCCCTGCAGATTGATTGGCTGATCTTTTGTAATAACACCATCAGAATAATCAAAGCCCTCTGAGTTTGGGATCACCAGTACTATTATTTTCCTTGAATGGCTTGATCTGCAAGATGGTCATGTGGCCAATTTTCCAGGATTTAATGATGTGTGCCTTTGTAAGCTTTTAGTTTGAGCCTGAGTGCAGTGCCTGCATGTTGTGATCTTTACAATGTGACCATCAATAGGTTTGTCTCGTACTGTACAGCTGTTCTTTGGCGGAAGTTTGATTTCTTCAGTAAAACTACATTTGAGCTCAGCATCCTCTAAAATACATGGGACAAGGAAAGCCTGGATGAATATCAAAGGCGCACCCAAGGTGTCGACCACTTGATAAGAATTTAAAAGTCCGATGCTACATTGTTAAACAAAGATTTTGCAATCAGCCCCTCTTCTCCCAGCTATTTGACAGTCAGGGTAGGGAATTCTGTTTCATCACCACTTGCCAGGTTGATGCTTCAGCTCTGGTGTTTTCTCAGGCTGCCCAGTCGCTGCTGTTTCCCTCCATCGCCCAGCAGACACTGGTATAGCTTTGGTGGGTATTCACCTCTCTGAATAGCCCACTGCGTGATGATGCTGGATCTGCGAGAGCAGCTCTGAGCTTGTAAATCACAGATTTCCCGTCTCTGGGGGAGCAACAAGAGTGGGAGAGACAGAATTGATCATTGGAAGAGCTGGAACAATGGATGAGGAAAGACAAGATCGCTGTTTGAAGGAGCAACAAGTTCATTTCCCTGAAGTGCTGCTGCAGTCTCCTTTTGAAGTCACTGATAGTCTTCCTCTTCCACATCCACCAGCCTCACCCAACTTCATAGAATCCCTACATTGTGGAAGCAAGCCATTTGTGACCCATTTGACTCAACACCTTCAAAGAGCATCCCACCCAAACCCTTCCCACTTCATCCCAATAACCCTGAATTTCCCTTGGCTAACCCATCCAGCCTGCATGTTCCTGGACACTATGGGGCAGTTTATCATAGCCAATCCACCCTAACCTGCGCATCTTTAGACTGAGAGAGGAAACTGGAGACCTGGGGGAAACCCACGCAGACACAGGGAGAATGTGTAAACTCCACACAGACAGCTGCCTGAGGCCGGAAAGAAACCAACGTACCTGGTACTGAGAGACAGGGGTGCTAACCACTGTGCCACCCTTGGACAGGAATACCCATTTTTGGTGGAGAATGAGCTAAATATAAGAGGCACATCAATCTTGTCTATTCTGTTACTCATCTCAACTTTCCAATGTGTTTATCTCCCTTAAGTGGCTACTTGTTATCTCCCATACTCCATAAAATACAACTAGTTCCTGGTGTGTAATTTCCTGGAAAATGTTAGACCACAGAGGTCGCGGTTGGATATTTTGAGTTCTACATATTAATTTATGGGGATGGGCTAGTGGTATTATCACTGGGCTGTTAATTCAGAGACCCAGGTAAATTTCTGGGACCGGGGTTCAAATTCTGTCAAGGCTGATGGTGGAATTTGAATTCAAAAAAAATCTGGAATTAAGATCCACTGATGACCATGAGTTGATTTTGGAAAAGCCCATCTGGTTCACTAATGTCCTTTAGGGAAGGAAACTGCCATCCTTACCTGGTCTAGCCAACATGTGACTCCAGACCCACAGCAATGTGGTTGACTCTGCACTGTCCTCTGTGCAATTAGGGATGGGCAATAAATGTTGGCCTGCCAGCGATGTCCTCATCCTGTGAATGAATTAAAAAAACTTCAGAAATAAACTTCAAATTGGGGAAGGAACAAAAGCATAGTTGGAGATAACAACACAGAGGAAGCTCTTGTTCTCTATCAAATAAACGTTTTGTGAATTTTCAATGTGGTACTGAGTTGCCTTCTGAACAACAGCAGTTCCTAGAGTTTAAGGACACTCTCAAAGTTCCAGGATTTTGACCCAGTGACAGTGAAGAAATGGCAGTATATTTCCTCAGGATGGTGTGTGGGATTTGGGGGGCACTTGCAGGTGGTGATGTCCCCATGCCTTGTGGTAGAGATCAAAGTTTTCAGAGGTGCTGTCAAAGGAATATGTTGATGTAAAGATTTGTATGATGAAACAGTTGCCACTGATAGTTAAAAGCATCTTTATTAAGTGTTAATCTGTATATCCTTAGCCTCCAGATTATCAATGATTAGAAAGTATTCTTGATATTTTGCTCCCTCATGGTTCAATTTGGTAATTTCTAAAGGTCGGTTTGCCTAATCCAATCAAGCAGTAAATCACAACAGAAGGTAGCATAATGGGTGTTTTATTTTCTCTCCTTTGAGACCTTGGTCCAGAGCCAAGCCCCTCTACCTGTTCCCTGCAGTTGCAATCTGGTACATAAGCCTCAAAGTTGCTCCAAATTTGATAATTGTCATAATGAAGAGAAAAGATAAATTGAAAGTCTTAAACTCAGGATATGCTGAAACATTTACTGCCAGGTCTATATTTTGTTGGAAACAAAGTTGGTTTTGTAAATTGGCAGCAAAATTACTCAAACTGCAATTTGCCAATGACCAGACAATCTCTTCTGGGATTGTGGCTGAGGATGAAACTTTGGCAAGGACACTTGAGAGAACTGTCTTGCTCCTTTTCAGAAATAGTGTCATGGGATCTTTTGGAGTCTTTAAAAAAGGTCTTAGTTTAATTTCTCATCAGAAACTGAAATACAGATGCCCTTGCTAGAATGGTTGGTGCTTCTTGCAATTGGGTCTGAGGCCCTGGAGAGAGCGCTTCAGTCTGTAGCTGTCTTGGAGTGTAAAGGAATGGGAGATGCTTGAAACAACAACAGTAAGAGAAAAGTTACAACTTAATGGTTCAACAGGGAGCTCTGATAGTTAGAGAATTCTGAACAGTGACTCAGAAAATTTTTCTAATCAGCTGTAGAAGAACTCATTGTTCCTAGTGAGCACTGCATGTGGTGGTAATGTATGGTATAATGTAGATACAGCAAGTGGCTTTGTTCTGAGTGTGTAATGAAGAAAGTTGTGGTTTTGTATAGTACCTTTCATGACACATGAAAGTCCTAAGTTTTTTACACCAAAGCTGTGTGGCAACGTAGGAAACCCAAAGGTCAGCTTTTTGCAACAAGATCCCACAAGCCATAATAAACTAACAATCAGCTCTGTGCACTTGAAGGCCTGTTGTCAGTTTTCAAAGTTAAGTTTACATTAAGTTATACAAATTGCCGCAGGCTATTATGTGTCAAGATGTGACAGTGTGAGACATTCTGTTCTGACTTGGAAATGTTAAGAACTTAGTTATTGATCAGTATTGAAACTTCCTGAATTTGCGAGCTTATAAATATAATTGGATTTTTCTTTTTTATGTTGCTGATTTTTCTCAATGGTCAAGATCTTTGGATTGCAGTTTTTACAGAATGCATTCCTAAAGGTTGGCAACTATGTGAAACAAGATAAATGATCTTGTAGCACAGATTGAAATTGGCAGGCATGATGTTGTGTGCATCACAGATGTGGCAGCAAGGGAATCTGGCCGGGGAGCTAAATATCCAAGGATATGTGTCCTGTTGAAAGGACAGGCAGAGCGGGTGGGTTTGCCTTGTAAGAAATGAAATTACTTTGAAAGTAAGTGATAGTCAAAAGGCGTAGAATCTGTGCGGGTAGAGTTAGTCAGAGTTGTACAGCACGGAAACAGACCCGTTCGTCCAACTTGTCCATGCCAAACAGATATCCTAAATTAATCTAGTCCCATTTGGCCCATAACCCTCTAAACCCTTCCTTTTCATGTACCCATCCAGATGCTTTTTTTTAAATGTTGTAATTGTGCCAGCCTCCAACACCACGTCGGGCAGCTTATTCCACATACACACCATCCTCTGCCTGAAAAAGTTGCCCCGTAGGTACTTTTTAAATCCCTCCCCTCTCACTTTAAACCTAAGCCCTTTCGTTTTGGACTCGGCACCCTGGGGATAAGATCTTGACTATTCACCCTATCCATACCCCTCATGACTTTATAAACCCCGATAAGGTCACCTCTCAGCCTCTGAAGCTCTAGGAACAATAGCCCCAGCCTATTTAGCCTCTCCCTAGAGCTCAAACTTGAGGAACTGTGAAGGAAAAAAGACAACTAGAGTTTTGTACAGACCTTCTAGCATAATTAGGATGTGGAGATGAAAATAAATCAGGAAATAGAAATGGTATGGAAGAAAGGCACAATTACAATAATCATAGGGGACTTCAATATGGGAAAATCTGGTTGGGAGCAGATGTCTAGAAAAGAAATTCATGCAATGTCTGAGGGTTTTTTTTTTTGGAGCAGCTTGTGGTAGAAACCAGTAGGGAACAGGCAGTTCTGTATTTGGTGATAATGAGGCACACTTGATTTTGCAGGTTAAGGTGAAGGAACCCATGGGGGAGAGTGATGATAATACGATAGAATTCACCCTCTAGTTTGCGGGGGGACATCTGGAATCCGATCTAACTGTACTGCAAGGACAAGAGGGAGGAGCTGGTCAGAGTCAATTGGAAAGGGAGTCTAGCAGGGAAGATGGTAGAGCAGCAATTGTTGGAGTTCCTGGGGGTAATTTGGAAGGCACAGCAGAAATTCATCCCAAGGAAGAAATTGGCTAATGTAATACTCCTGTTTAAGAGGAGAAGGAGGCAGAAAACCGGAAACTATAGGCCGGTTAGCCTCAACGCAGTCAGGTAAGATTTTAGAGTCTGCTGTTAAGGATGAGATTGTGGAGTGCTTTTAAGTGCATGGTAAAATAGGGCTGAGTCAGCACAGTTTCGTCAAGGGGAGACCATGCCCATGAAATCTGTTAAAATTCTTTGAAGAGGTAACAAGCAAAGGAGAGTCAGTGGACATGATCTATTTGGATTTCCAGAATACCTTTGACAGTGTGCTGCACAGGAGGCTGCTAAATAAGATAAGAGCCGTGGTATTAGGAGCAAGGTGCTGGCATGGATAGATTGGTTGACTGGCAGAAGGCAGAGATAAAGCGCTCCTTTTCAGGATGGCAGCCGATGATTGATTAGTGGAGTTCTGCAAGGGTCAGTGTTGAGACCACAACTACTCGCGTCGTACATTAACAATCTGGACAAAGGAATTGAGGGCATTGTTGCTAAGTTTGCAGATGACACAAAGATAGGTGGAGGGACAGATAGTGTTGAGGAAGCAGGGAGGCTGCAGAAGGACTTGGACAGGCTACGAGAGTGGACAAAGTGGCAGGTGGAGTACAATATGGGAAAGTGAGAGGTTTTGTAGGAACTTAGGTCAGAAGAGTCGAGGCATGGACTAGTTCTAAACAAGGAATTGTTTTGGAAATCTGAAGCACAAAGGGACTTCCGAGTCCTGATTCAGATTCTCTTATGGTTAACATGCAGATTCATTTGGCAGTTAGGAAGGCCAGTGCAATGTTAGCATTCATTTCGAGAGGGCAAGAGTACAAGAGATGTACTGCTGAAGTTGTATAAGGCTCTGGTCAGACTGCATTTGGAATATTGTGAGCAGTTTTGGGCCCTGTATGTAAGGAAGGTTGTGGTGGCGTTGGAAGGGTTGTAGCAGAGGTTTACAAGAATGATCCTGGGGATAAGGGGATGTGAGGAGTGCTTGAGGACTCTGGGTCTGTGCTGAGTGGTTTTTAAAAAGATGAGGGGGGTTTCATTGGAACTTTTAGAATACTGGGAAGCCTGGATAGAGTAGAAACATAGATGTTTCAACTAGTCGGAAAGACTAGGTCTCGAGTGCATAGCCTCAGAGTGAAGGGACAACCCTTTAGAACTGAGACGAGGAGGAATTTCTTCAGCCAAAGGGTGGTGAACCTGTGGAACTCATTGTCGCAGAAGGCTACAGAGGCTGTCACTGAGTGTATTTAAGATGAAGATAAATAGGTTCTTGATTGGTAAGGGGATCTAGGGTTATGGGGAGAAGGCAGGAGAATGGAGTTGAGAAACTTATCAGCTATGATTGAATGGTGGAGCAGACTCACTGGGCTGAATGGCCTAATTCTGCTCCTTTTTCTTATGGTCGTATAGAGGCAATAAACCTAAGACATTCAGTAGATGGGAGAGGTAGGAAGAAATATGCTTTGGATTGAGCAGGACTGTTGGGGGCCACAATGCTCTTCCCTTGGATATAGTTGTGGAAGTAAAATCCAAAATGGTTTTCAAAGGAAAGTGGATAATAGTTGAATTTTTTTTTTTAGAAATGTTTGTGGAAATGGGTCTCATTTAGTCCTAAGAGCTGATGTTGATTCACTGGAGGAATGGCTTTCTGAAATGTATAATTGTCAGAGTGTCTGCTTTTAAAGAAATGTAATGTTTTGTAATTCAAGGAGACCTTGACTTGTTTAATTTAATTGACTTGGCCTTTCTCACAGTGAATGGGTGGTGATTGTATATTCTAAAGACTGAGTTTGTAATACCCTGTGTTGTACAGCACAACAGAGTGAGGTCGGTGAAATCCACACCACTCCAGAGCCCAAAGGTCCCACAGAGCAAGAGCAACTACTAGAGGAGAGCATTCAATCCCTGCAACAGGAGAAGGAGGAATTGTATTCTCAGTACCAGGCACAGGTAAGCAGGGCTTCTTTTTCATTTAGGGTGGGCAAAAAATGGCTTTCTCAGCAGATGTCAATCTTGATAAAGACATCCATGAGGAGTCTCAACTGCACCAAACTGCATTGAATATTGAGAACAACTACTCTTCATATTCCTATCCTCTTAGGACTCGAGGCAAAATGTTCTGAGAAAAGGGAAAAACAACGTAATGGACAAAATTGCCTTGGAGACTGGATCAAAATTGTTTCACTTCCCTGAACAGCTTAATGGATGCATATGGAGGGGCATGGACCCCTAGAGACTTGCAAAGCTGGTCAGATTTGCGCAGTTAGTACTGCGCTGGGGTGCCACAATAAGCCCTATTGTCCCAATTTAAGAATGAGAACATTTAGCCAGGTTTCCCATTCTGTGACTTGGTGATAAGGGCACAGGCTTGGATGTTGGGCAAGCTAAGGTTGTTGAAGCTAAGATTAAACTCAGTCTGTGATGTGCTGCATAATTACACAGCGTGTTGGCAATGGATTTCCAAGCTTGTACAAGAAAAATGCTCTAGAAAGCAGCCAGTACATAGGGGACCATACTCCCAATGAATAGTCAATAACCAGAAGAGGAAGAATGTTTTATACACAGCAATTCATTTCATTTTGAAATGTGTAATACAAGGCTGTATGGTGCTACCAAATGACAAGATGTGGGTTTGAATCCCAGGTTTAGTACTCTCTTACATAAAAGTAAAATGCTGGATGCACAAAATCTGCGTGAAAAATACAAAATACTGGAAGTACTCAGCAGGCCTTGCAGCAACTCTAGAGAGACAGTTAATGTTTCAGGTTATGATGGAAGGTCATGTCATGCCCCTGACATGTTAACCAATCTTTCCTTTCCATAAATGCTGCCAAACCTGCTGAGTATTTCCAGCATGTTGTGTTTTTATTTCAGGTTTGCAGCATCTTCAGTATTTTGCTTTGCAATGGACACATCTCCAAATATAGTCCACGGTGTTGACCAAATGGTATGGGCTTTTTACAGTGCCATTGGACAAATATACCTGACCATTTTTTTTCAAGAAGGTACACATTTAATAATTTATGATCACCCTTCAGGTTTGTGACAATGAGCAGCTGAGTCATTTGAACCTGGAGCTGGAAGAGAGACTACAGGAACTGGAGAGGACAGTGGAACGTTACAATGACAATTCTGTAGACCGAAAGCAACTGTTGGAAAACATGCAGAGTGACAAGGCTACAATAAGCAGGGCACTGACACAGAACCGTGAGCTCAAGGAACAGCTAGCAGAGCTTCAAAATGCATTTGTCAAACTTGTAGGTATCACCTCTTCCTAAAACACATTTTTCTTGCCCATAAATGTGCTGTTGAATTTATCTTGCTGTAGCTGACAAAACAGAGTCCTCTAAAAAGCCCTTGTTTTCAAAATGCTGAAGTTCCATCTTACGTTTTGATTGTATTTTGACTTCATTTTTAATCAGCGTGAAGTATTTTCAACTTGTCAATTTAGTGGGTATGTAATTGCCTAGCTTCAAAAAGGGTGACACAGTTAATGTGAAAATTTTAGAGAACAATTAATTTAACATCTGTGCTAGTTGACTGAGTTTATTCAAGACTGCCCAAAAAATGTAATAATCTCAATGAGAAACAGGAATGGGGAGAGTTGGTTTACATGAGCAGGAGAAGGCCATGCAGCCCCTAAAGCCTATTCTACTCTTCTGGTTCATCTATCTCAATGCCATCTTCATGTGCTATCCCCATGTCTAACTATCTAGAAATCATCTGTCTGACTTCACCTTGAACATACTTTGTGACTGAGCTTCCGACTGTCGAGAATTGCAAAGATATTCTTACTACCTAAGCAAAAAAAATTCTTCACCTCAGTCCTAAATGCGTTGCCTCTTGTTCTGCTCTGTCACTTGACTCTAGATTGCACCCTACCCCCAGCTCCTACAAAAGACAAACCTTTCTGCATCCACCTGTCTAGCCCTTTGAAGACTTTTCCAAGTTTCAGTGGGATCGTTATTTTAAGCTGTCAAGACTGCAGGTCCAACCTCTCATAGGGCAATCCAACAATCTGAATAATTTTGGTGAATCTCGACTGCATTCCCTGAATGGTAAGTATATCCTTCCTTGAGGACCATAATTGCACACAACACTCCAGTCCCAGTCTCACCATGATTCTGTACGATTTAAAGCAGGGCCTCTTTACCTACACTGAAATCCTCTTGCAATTAAGGCCAACATACCATTTATCATTTTAGTCGTTTGCTACATCTGTATGTTAACTTCCACTGGGTTAGGAAGGAGGATATGAGATAACAAGGTGTGGAGCTGGTTGCACACAGCAGGCCAAGCAGCATCAGATGAGCAGGAAGGCTGACGTTTCGGGCCTCGACCCTTCTTCAGAAATAGGGGAGGGGAAGGGGATTCTGAAATAAGTAGGGAGAGAGGGGGAGGCGGAGGCGGATAGAAGATGGATAGAGGAGACAGACAGGTCAAAGAGGCGGGGATGGAGCCAGTGAAGGTGAGTGTAGGTAGGGAGGAGATAGGTCAGTCCAGGGAGGACGGACAGGTCAAGGGGTCGGGATGAGGTTAGTAGGTAGGAGATGGGGATGGGGTTTGAGGTGGGAGGAGGGGATAGGTGGGAGGAAGGACAGGTTAGGGAGGCGGGGATGAGCTGGACTGGTTTTGGGATGCGGTAGGGGGAGGGGAGATTTTGAAGCTTGTGAAGTCCACATTGATGCCATTGGGCTGCAGGGTTCCCAAGCAGAATATGAGTTGCTGTTTCTGCAACCTTCAGGTGGCATCGTTGTGGCACTGCAGGAGGCCCAGGATGGACATGTCGTCTGAGGAATGGGAGGGGGAGTTGAAATGGTTCGCGACTGGGAGGTGCAGTTGTTTAGTGCAAACCAAGCATAGGAAGGAGGATATCTGGGTCTCTCTGGACTTTGCACTCTCTTAACATTTAAGAATTAATGTGCACCTCTATTCCTCCAAAAAAATAGTGACCTTACTAGTTTACATTAGAGTCTATCTGCCATGTTCTTACTCCACTCAACCCGTCCATTCCCTTGGAAGCTTCTTTGCATCATCCTCTCAAAATGTATTTGAACCTAGTTTTGTGTCGCCTGTAGACCTGGAAATATTACCATTAGCCCATGCATCCAAATCATTGACCCCAGTTGTTCACAATTTGCCAATCATTCATCCTTGCTGTGCCTCACTGCTCACAGCTTGCCAATTGAGTGGAACCCACTTAGTCCTCTGTTTTCTTTGTTAGCCAACGCTCAATCCATTACATTATAATTACCCCAATCTTGTGTGCCTGATATTATTTACTACCTCCTATCATCGACCTTTATGAAAAACCTCCTGGAAATCTAACTGCTGTATCTACTTTGATCGTTATTTTCCAGGTGCCTGGCTATCACGCCCCTTAGGTTGTATTTTGCTTATTACTGATGTCTGGTATGAGGGATTGCTTAGTTAAGTTGGCTGGGTGGCTGGTTTGCAATGCAGAGTGGGTTGAGTTCCCACACTGGCTGAGGTCACCATGAAGGACCTTCGCCTGAGGCATGGTCACCCTCGGGTTAAACTAACACCAGGCATCTCTCACCTGTCCCTTGGATCTGTCTGTCTGGGAGATTTCTTGTAGCTGTTTCTGTGAAGACGTTCGGAGAAATTGTGTAGCGTCTTGCCTATTTCCCATTATAAATTTTGAATCTGCCTGGAATGAACCCACATTTGTCAAACTTTTCCTTGTATCTGTAGCAGTTAACGTCCCATTCTCGACTGCATTCATATTCTATTTTCTCTTTATCATTTTCTTGTCGTCTTTGTAATTGTGAAATACTCGCAATCTACAGGCTTATTACTGATTTTAGTAACTTTATAAGCCGCCTCATTTGATCCATTATAATCTTTAACTTCGTTTTCCCCATCATTAATTCACTTTTCCTGTTGGAAGTTTGTGCCCTAAAATTATGTTTGTTGTAAACCAGGCAATAATTCCTTAAATGTTAGTCCTTGCCTTTCTACTGTAATATTTGTAATATACTTTCTCAATCAACCAGAACCAATTTGCCCCTCATTTTCATGCTTTCCTTTTCTTTAAGAACCTAATCTTGGATTGAATGACATTTATAAACTTCTCCTATATTATGGTTCACTGTTCCCGAAAGGTTCTTTTACAACGAGATTATTAATTATCCCCTTTATTGCAAAACACTAGATCTAAAGTAACCTGTTCTGTCATTTGTTCCTCAACACACCGTCAACGAAAACCACTTTGTGCAGATTCTAGGCATTCATCCTCCACACCATCAGTGCTCGTTACCTTTACCCAGTCCACATGTAGATTGAAATCATCTGTGATTACAGCGTTACCTTTGTTTCCTGATTTTTATATCATGCCCCACATAATAGTTCGGCACAACATCGTGGGCCGAAGGGCCTGTACAGTGCAGTACTGTTCTATGTTCTATGTTCATTTCCGACAGTGTTTGGTGGCCTACGAACGAAACTACCGAAGTTTGCAAATAGTTCTACATCTCATTTTTCCCATCCAAATCCACTTTCACTAGAATACTTATCTTTTATTAACAGTAGTGCCTTGCCTCCTTTTTCCTTTTGCTTGTCCTTCCTAAACGTTGGATATCCTTAAATATTCAGGTCCCAGCCTTGGTTACTCTTAAGCCACACCTCTATAGTAGCAACTAGATCATACCTGTTTACTTATCTTTTCTATCAGCTAATCATTTGTCGCAAATACTGCATGTATTCATGGTGCCTTTGTTTCTGTATTCTTAACATTATTGAGTCTTCTGTCTGTAATGTTAGCATTAGTTTCTGTTGCCTTGCACTTTAATTTACTACTTTTTTTACTTCTACCAACTGTTTTCTTTCCCCCCTCTGAATTACCTCTTCAGTTCCTTTTCCCTCTTAACCAGCTAATTTGCACCCTTCCCAAAACCATTAGGAAATATCCCTGTGAGGATATTTGTTCCAGTCGTGCTAATACATAACCCATTCTTCTTGAATCAGGCCTCACCTGCCCAGAATCCGTCTCAATGCCCCCGATATCTATAATCCCTCAATGTTATTATTTCTGTTCTTAGTAATGCCGCTTCTGGGAGTAATGCGGAGGTTGCTGTCTTAAATGTCCTGCTTTATAATCTCTTTCCTAGCTCTGAGGAATGTTCACTTGAAACAGGCACAGTATATGTTTAATTTCTTTCTGTCTGCAAATAGCCTTGTGCATTAATATGAAACTTGAGTGTCTGCAAAGCGCCACATTCTGAGCCAGACTGGGCTGTCTTTAAATTGGTTGTCAGTGCAGTTCTTAGCACATTTGGGAATACTTAGCAAATGTTGTCCAGTTGCAGAGTCTCATCTAATGTTAGAAGGTCTGTTTTGGTTGGGTACAGTCAGTAGCTTGCCTGTTGCAAACAAGTGAAGGTGCATGCTGTTTGATACAATCTGCCAGTCTTTAGGATGTGCATACCTCCTAAATGGTAAGGAGGCACACACCTCTCCAAATAGATTTATTTCTTCCCCTGCTGTTCAGAAGTAAGATTCTGAAGAAAAAAATCTTTGCTCTTTTTGTTTTATCAGAGGAGATTAGGGGATGATTTAAAAGAAGTATTCCATTGTAGAGTCTAGAATAAGCAGACATAGAAATGAAATTTGGGAGAGATCAGAAGAAATGTTTTTCTCAGAACAGTAGTGACACTGAAGAATGTACTGTCAGAGTTAAAGACGTCACTGTTTTTCAATATGCTTGATAGGTTCAGATGTTAATTTCTGAGCAAAATTTTCAACAGTCTTGGAACAAATTGCTTGTGATCACGCTTAGAAACGTCATTTGAACATTGTCACTTGCTTCTTAAAACACACAAATTCTCTTCATTCCCCTCTCTCCTTTCTTGTTCATGTGCTCTCTTTCTTTCTCCCTTTCCAACTGCTACCAATCTCCAGATTTTTCTTGATCCTGTCAACTATGCTGTCATCTCCCCGTCTTTTCCTTCACAGAAAGCCTCCAGTTGGTTTCCACATTTGCCTTCAGCACCAGCACCCCATTGATCCAAGTCCAAAGAACGTTTCATGTGAAAACAGTGATTATTGTTGCAGCCTGTTCCTTCTAACTACTCGATCTTCCTTTAATATCTTTTCCCTATAGACCAGTCCATGCTGGTCCCCACCTCTTCTGCTTATCTCTGATACAGCTGGACACTACATTGCTTTTAGTGTTTTATCCTTTTCTGTCTGCATGGTCTGTTCTGGTTTGCCTGAAGAATCTGCCCTGGCCACATCTTTCCCATCTACATGCAACCCCTTGGTGTGAGTTTAAAATATGCGTGACCTGATTCCATGTCTGTTGATAGTATAGTATAGTATCTAGTAACTTGTCAGGATTCTTCCATCAATCTGAGTATTGTTGCTGCACACTTCAAATATATGTCTGACATTACATTTAGTATTAAAAACATTCTCCTTCGCATCCTCAGCAAAACTAAAGGACACTGCTTGGCTGTTGCTGGCCTTGTGCTTCTGGCTCAGAACCAACAGAGTCTCTGCCCAGACTGCTAAAGCTTTGAAAATATCAAATTCAGAATTCTGTTAACAACATCATATTCTTCCACCTCCGCTGTCACCTCCTTGCATCTAGTTGATGCCTATTCCTCTCCACCTTTTACTTTGAGACTGAATGTTTCAAACTGGCTTCCAACCTGAACAATCACGACCATAAGCAATTCAAAATACTTTGGCTTCTGGAAAGATCTGCACCATTGCCTACCTTCAATTGCCGTCACCCTCCATGTATTATTTATTTATTTATTTTGTGGGATTTGAGCATCACTGTCAAGATCAACATTTGTCGCCCATCTCTACTTGGCTTGCCAGACCGTTTCAAAAAATCTAAAGTCAGCTGCATTGCTGTGGGCCTGGGGTCACGTGTAGACCAGACCCCACAAGGAAGGCAGATTTGCTTTCCTAAAGCTCGTTCGTGAACCAGATGGGTGTTCATGATCATTGAAAACAGTTCTATGGAAACTATAATTGAGACTAGCTTTTAATTCTAGGTTTATTAATTGAATTTAAATTCTGCCGAGTACTCTAGTGTGGATTTGAACCTATTTTGTCTGACCGTCTGGATTGCTGGTTCAGTGACATGACCACTACGCACCATTTCCCTCCCATATTGCTTTGGCCAGTTGGAATTGAATTACCAGTCAGTATCTCTTTCTCTAGTGGTGTAAGTTGTTGTATTCAGTAGTATGGTTTTTCTTTTCAATAATATTTAAGTTATGTACTGCTAAGCGACACTTTTTAAAATCAAAACGTTAAGTTTTGAACCCTATGATTTGACCATTTTAAAAATCATGAAATGAAGTTGCGCAATATTTATGCCATATCGCATGGAGATTACAATCGATTGTTCCAAGGGATGAATTGCTGTCTTTTAAATGTATGTGTAATCTGCATTAATTTTCCACAGACTAATGAGAACATGGAACTCACCAATGCATTGCAGTCAGAACAGTATGTAAAGAAGGAGCTGGCTAAGAAAGTTGGACGTATGCATGAGGACGTGGCAGATTTGGAAGAAAAGGTATCAATTCCTTTTAACGGGTGAATGTAAAGTATATTTGGACTGTATGTGCATCCTGACCCAGTTGCAGTTTCTTTTGAGAAGTCATTATGCCTAAACTATGCATTACAGGGAGTTTGCATTCAATATCACTGTTGGCTTCAATACAAGTTTTGCACACGTATATTGTATGTGTTTTCAGATATGCTCAGTTTGCATTTGCATCCTGGAGTAGTTTGCCTTTGATTAGATGGAACTGAAGCATGTTCTTTGTGGAAAGCTTGAATGCTTCCTGCAGAAGTAGTCCAACGTGCATAACGCAGCAGAACAAATGATTCCTCTGTCGATGTGGTGCTGAAGTTTCAAGTCCAACAGATCAGTGAGGATGTTGGAAAATATTAATGAGATTATCACAACTTCCTATAATGGACTATATCCCTAGATGCAATTTTAATATGTAAAGTTTCTGTATTGTTAAAAAGGAAATGATAGTGTCCTGGGGAGTTTTGCCAAACAAAGAGATCTTGAGATGCAGGTTCGTAGTTCCTTGAAAGTGGAGTTGCAGTTGGACAGAGTAGCTACGAAGGCGTTTAGTATGCTTGCCTTTATTGGCCAATGCATTAAGTATAGGAGTTGGGATGTCATGTAATGGTTGTACAGGTTATTGGTTAGGTCACTTTTGGAATAGTGTTCAGTTCTGGTCTCCCTCTTATAAAAAAAGATGTTGTTAAACTTGTAAATCTTTTCTGAACCCTTTCAAGGATGTTGCTGGGGTTAGAGGGTTTGAGCCACAGGCAGATGCTGAATAGGCTTGGGCTATTTCCCCCGGAGCGTTGGAGGCTGAAGGGAGACCTTATAGAGGTTTATAAAATCATGAGGGGCGTGGATAGGGTGAATAGCCAAGATCTTTTTCCCAGATTGGGGAAGTCCAAAACTAGAGGGCATAGGTTTAAGGTGAGAGGGGAAAGATTTAAAAGGGACCTAAGGGGCAACTTTATCACAGAGAGTGGTGTTTGTGTGGAATGAGCTGCCAGAGGAAGTAGTGGAGACTGGTACGATTACAGTATTTAAAAGGCATCTTGATGGGTATATGAATAGGAAGGGTTTATAGGGATATGGGCCAAATTGGGTTAGATTAATTTAGGATATCTGGTCGGAGTTGAACCAAAGGATCTGTTTTTGTACAACTGCTATATGACTCTGACTCCAAATAAATGTTCTAGCAGGGATGGCTAGTTGAGAGAAAGTCATTGTTTCCACCTGTTGGAAACATGCAAAATTAAAGCACAGGAGTTATTGTTTCATTGGATGGTCTAATGCCACTTGTGTTTTTGCAGCTTGAGATAAAGTCGCAGGAAGCTCAGGCCATGCAGGGAGAGAGGAATGAGATCTGTACTCACCTACAACAGTACATTGCGGGTTACCAGCAGCTGGTGGCTGAGCGAGAACAGTTTCAGAAACAGATCCAGCAGGCACAATTCATGAACAGTTTGCAGCACGAGGAGGCACAAGAGGGACTGCAAAATGAGTTGCAACCGAAGAATCACCAGGTGACAAAGGTGAGATTAAATAATCCAGGGAAGATGGAGAGCTGGTTGTGTTGTGTCGTCTGAAGTGATTCTCTGTAGACATGTAATTATCTTAATGTGTACTGCTAACAGGAAGCCTCACCTGGATGTACATAACAGTACACATGGTGAGTATGATTTTCTGTCTCTCAGTTTGGCTGTATTGATCCTATAATGTCAATTCTCCTGCATTCAGTCCTTAATGGCATTTTATCAGGGCATTGAAAAAAAAATAAATCATGACAAAACGAGCAAGTGCTTGAGGTTTAAAAGCAAGAATGGAGAACTGGAATCAAGAATGTACCAGGGCAGCAAGGAATTGTCCAATCAGCCTGCTCCGTTTCATAATTGATGCAACCAATTTAAACAAAACATTGCCACATTTAATGAATGACATTGACTGTTTGAACAATGGAATTCGTTGTGCATCTCTGCCATTTTTAACTTGTAAGTTTGTAGATAGAAAGCACATAGAAGGTTGTGACTCAGTGAGTATCTGTTATTACTCTTGATGACAAAATGTGTCTGTCCACAGGAGCAACTGGAGCTGTTGAATGATGAAAACAAAGGTCTGAAGTCAATGATCAGCAGACTATCAGCAGATCTGAGCAAGATCAGTTCACAGCTTGGTGAAGGTGCGGGAACCTGAGCTTCCATTTTTAACCTCCTTTTAAATGCTGTCTCATGAACTTGGTCTCCAGATCATTTTGTAATTCTAAGAAGTATATTCACCCAAGGCTTGGGGATTCTAGTCAAGTTGCACCCCTCATTCAATCCCACAGAATAATGGGGCCAATAGTGTGAATTTCTTTTGTGCTGAAACTTCAAACTTCCAAGACTGGAGCATTTATTGAGCTGCAGAGAACAGGTCAAGATAAGAAAAACAAGAAATTTTAGAGTGACTGTTATTCCATAATTTTATTTCACATTCAATTATTTTGATTGTGTTGTTGTTCCTTTAAATTTTAAAAACAATTTTTTTGTTAGAAAGAGTGGCTACTGTATGGGTTTTGTAATTCCTGGGCTGTGATAAGTTCCTGATGAGGTTGGTTAATATTAAACCTTATGTCAGCAGATGATGGGTTGGAAGGTCAGCTCGTTCCCATACATGGAAATCAGAAGACCCATGTTACAATGCCAGCAGAACTGGAAGGTCAAGAGGAGCTGGTAAGCATGTCTTCAGGGTAATTCAACAACATCTTGATGTCTGAATTGAGCATCAGCAGGAGTTAACTTGGAGTAAAAGATGCTGGTTCTGTCTCTTTCCCATGCTGTTGTGTTGTTAAGTCAGCCACACTGGGGACAAATGTTCAAACAGATCTAGGGAGGGCACGTAAGTAAAGTAACCTCCTAGGATGTAGTTGTTTTATTTTAAATGCTTCCTGGTGTCCAGCTTAAAGTACCATTGGCTGAGGTTGTGGGATATGTGGGGTCAGACAGTAAGACATTGGAGAGGCTTAATGCCAAAGGAGTTACAAAAGATTTCACTGAATAAATTGCAGCAGCCTGATCTAATCAATCTAACCAATCAAACAGAATACATGGAAGAGCACAACAGGTGGATCAGCACTTAAAAAGGAAATATTTGGGATATAACTGTTGATCAGAATGTGTAAGTTCTTTACCTAGTCGAAGGTTTGCGCCTTACTAAATTGGTTGCACTAACCATCACCACCATTAGGTGGTGCAATGAGAATGCAGTGCAGAAATGGGGCATTGCAGTGCTGCATTACAGCAAAGGGTTGCAGCAGCCACTGTCTGTCACACAGATTAATTCTTAGTTTTAATGTCTGTAACAGTTAAAGCTATCTATTTTATTAATGTCCCCATTTGAGTGGCATTGCTAAGAAACCACACAGTTGCGCTTTGCACGCGCACTTGTGGAATTCGAATTAACAATTCAGTAACAATCCTTGAACATCCGATTTCCCCCCAGGACTGTCAGAACAAATTTGAATTTACAGCCCTACAATTTTTTGCATGCCTCTTTGGTTCAAAATAATCCAAATGAGTGAAGTAATTGGAGCAGCCTAGCAACAAAATTGTTTCAACCAGTTGGAGGACATAAAATTTAAGCAAATTAAAATGAATTGGAATTTTAAAAGTCATCTGTTTAGAATCTTCAGTTTTCAGTGTTAGCTGGCAGTCAAAGTCGCTATGCAAAACAGAAATGGAATTGTTTTGGGGCAGTTAAAATTCACACTATTCGGTTATATTGCCTCGACTCTCATTGCAATGTAAGGACATGAGAGTCGGAATAGACAGTTCAGCCCCTTGAGTCTACTCTGCCGTTCAATACCATCTTGGCTGGTTTCATCTTGGTCTCCATAACCTTTCAACCAGCTATTAACTGAAGATCTGTCTATCTCCTCCTTAAACTTACTCAATGTTCTGGCATCCACCACACTCTGGGTAGTGAATTCCACGGATTCACAAGCCTTTAAGAAAAGTAATTTCTCCTCATTTCCAGTTTAAATTAGCTGCCCCTTATCCTAAAACTGTGACTTCTCATTCCAGATTGCCTCACATGAGGAAACAGCCTTTCCACATCTACTTTGTTGATCCCCTTTAGCATCTTACATGCCTGAATTAGATCTCCTCTCATTCATGTAAACTCCAGAAAGTATAGGCCTAAATTGCTCTGTCTATCTTCGTAATACATATCTGAACTGGTCATTGCACGTGCATGAGTGCTGATGTCATCTGTGCATGCACCAATGCAGTCTGGCAGTAGAGGTTTTGTTGCAGCTGACTGAAGTCACATGGACCATCTGAGCATGTGCAGACTGCACCGGGCTATCTCGGGTGTTGGGAACAATACTCCAATAAATTGCCTCATAAAAAACTTGCTATCCACTTTTACACTGTTTCTGTTGTACTAGTATAGATGCAAATTATTGTTCTTTGTAAGATTTTGCCTAAAATACCAATACCAATTATAAATAGATTTAAGATTCAAAGTCATTCTAGTAAAAGGAGGACTTGAAGATCTAGTGAGAAGGATGGGTGCATGAGATTCATCTATGAAAAAGTATTGATGCTTGTTAGGCCTATAGCCTTTTCTAATTCTGTTCCAAAGTTTCTATACACATTACCTGTGGCATTTTGTAAAACAAATTTACTGTACGTGATTTGCAAACTCACTCTGCACTGATGTGGAGGAACCAGTGTTGGACTGCTCATTTTGCACTGCTTAAGCACAAGTCCTAAAAGGTTGCTGCATTGTCTGTGCAGATTTGAAGGCATCCACTAGCAAAAGCATTTCAAAGAAGAGCTGTGGGTTAGAGATGAGTAGTTTGAGATTGTGGCGTTAGTGTTTTCTGATCCCAAGATAGCTGCTGCTGATGCTCTAGCCTGTGAAAATGGAATAAAACACCATCCTGAACAGAGAATATTCTCCTAAACCTACCTCAGTCGTGTGGGCTGTCATACTGATGGGCAGTAACCATCTGGATAAAGTGATGGCTAATGATTGTGAAATACAATCTTACACCCTTTTATTGTTTTGTATTGTGCCATTAATTAAGGTGAGTTCTACGTCCTTTTGATTTTGTATATAGCTGTTAGCGCAAGCTGGAAGAACAACACCCCATTTGCCACTTGGGGACCCTGCAGCTCTCTGGACTCTATCTTTTTCAATAATCTTAGGGACTGAAGTCTCCATGTCCTTGCCTGTACCCCAAGACACCAGGCCTTGTTATCGGATAGCCTGCCATCACACACTACCTGATGCTATCCACTAACAGTCTCCATTAACAGCTATTCACCCTCCCAGCCAGATTGTGATCCACTCCTTTTTCTGTCCAACTGTTCTTCTCTCTGGGCTGTATCCCCACTTATTGTTTAGCCCTTACCTCCTCCAAACCCCCCCCGCCCCCCATCAGCTCTGAGGAAGGGTCACCGGACCCAAAACATTAACTCTGATTTCTCTTCACAGATGCTGCCAGACCAGCTGAGATTTTCCAGCACCTTCTGTTTTTGTTACTGAGTGATTGGATGTTTGTCATAATTGATGCAGTGTCCTTTATGTTCTTTGTTTGAAAGTTTATTCCTTCTGTTGTTCTGGTTTACTTACAGAATTTAACACTAAACCAAGATCAGCTAACTCTGCAAAGCTTGGAAGCATACCAGCAGCATGAGATGCTACTACCAGAAATGTCAGCTCTGCTGGACAGACAAGAAGAACTGGGAGGTACTGAAACTGTTCTATTTTTGTCCTGTTATTTGAAAACCCACTGGACTGATTCTTTGAAGATGTGAATACCGTAAAATCATCGTAGTCTGTTTCTTCCATCCAGCAAATGGGGCGACCTAAAAATTGGATTGCAAAGTGGAAAATTCAAAACTAAAATTATTGTCCAGAATGGTTTAGATAGCCATATGAATGCATTCAAATTGCACAAGAATACACTCATGGTGGCAACATGATAAATGTAACTATGTACTGGGCTCGTAATTGGAACCATCCACATTCAGCATTGGGTCGAGAACGTGAAGCTGCTACCGCTTCTGCACTGAACATAAATTAGGCTGTTGGAAATGTTCTTTATCATCTATGTGGGCCGCTGTATTTCAAAACTGTAGTCTAAATTTTTTAAATGCTAGTTTACTAACCCATCCCTTTAAAATGATTAATTAATTACTGAGATCTGATTGCAAATACTAATTTATATTTTGCAACTGTCACAATTAATAGAATGGTTGGTCCCACGGTGGTCTGAAGAGAGTTTGCCATCTCGTTACCTGTGTGATTGCTACTAATATTGTTATTACTATCTAACTTCTTTCACAATAATTATTCACATGCAGCTTTGAGGTGCATGGGCCCTTGAAATAATTTTGCCAGGCTCCTGCTCAGTCCCATATGCGCAGCTCACAAACGTTGCACACAAGCATTTGTCCTGTTGCTAATTATGGTAAATTATTCTACTATTACAACAGCAACTTAAAGGTCTCTCAGCTTTAATGTAATAAAACGTCCAAAGATACTTCACAGGAACTTGGTAAAACGAAGTATTAATGGTCAAAAGCCTATTTGAAGATGAAGATGAGAGACGACATGTCCATCCTGGGCCTCCTGCAGTGCCACAACGATGCCACCCGAAGGTTGCAGGAACAGCAACTCATATTCCGCTTGGGAACCCTGCAGCCCAATGGTATCAATGTGGATTTCACAAGTTTCAAAATCTCCCCTCCCCCCACTGCATCCCAAAACCAGTCCAGCTCGTCCCTCCCTCCCTAACCTGTTCTTCCTCCCACCTATCCCCTCCTCCCACCTCAAGCCGCACCTCCATCTCCTACCGACCAACCTCATCCCGCCCCCTTGACCTGTCCGTCCTCCCTGGACTGACCTATCCCCTTCCTAACTCCCTACCTACACTCACCTTTCCTGGCCCCATCCCCGCCTCTTCGACCTGTTTGTTTCTTCTCCACCTATCCTCTCCTCCATCCCTCTTCTATCCGTCTCCCACTCTCTCCCTATTTATTTCAAAACCCCCTTCCCCTCCCCCTTTTCTGATGAAGGGTCTAGGCCCGAAACGTCAGCCTCTCTGCTCCTATGATGCTGCTTGGCCTGCTGTGTTCATCCAGCCTTGCACCTTGTTGTCTCCTATTTGAAGATGATTGGCTTAAGGTGCTTCTAAAAGTGAATTGCCAGACTGAGGCCTGTAGGGACGAGACAACAGGTAAAGAAGTTAAAATCCTTTACAAGTTAAAGGAAGGAATTGGTAAAGTGTTTGGGAAAAGTAACCTGCAGGCTAGCATGGAGGAAGCAGTGGAGTGAGACTGTTTGGATCATTCTTTGAAAGAGCCATCATAGACACGATTGGCAGAATGAGCTCTTTAAGTGTTGTAACATTCTATGGAGCACTCACTCCTTTATTTTCAATCAGAATTGTGCCATCAACGTTTCAACTGCCCTGCATTCTGCTCTGTATCCTTTCCTCTCTTGAATACATTTATTGGCTAGTCAGATTGTGGTTTTCTGTAATTTTATAATCATTCATTGCTCCTGCATAAATCCGTTGTGCACATTTTCATGTAACTTTATTGTTATCTTTTGGCATCAGCATTTGAGTAGTGTACCCTTCTAAGATTTTTCTGAACTTACTTTCATCCGCACAGGAGATGCAGACACAGTACCAACAAATCTGTATGAAGCCTTAAAAACTACGATGGATAAGCTGCAGGTTAGTAAATTTTGATTTTATTTTCCTTTTGGTCCAAACTTTTGCAGGCCTACTCTGAAAAGGAATGTAGTGTATCACATTTGTGCATCTTTAAAGACTCTTTGTAACGAAGGGACAGGCTGTACTCTCCCTAATCCATCTAGCATCTGCAGTACGTCCACCCAGCCTGCATTCACATAATTCAGAGGGTTCATTAGCTGCAAACTGATAAAGTAGCTGGAACTGTATTAGCTAGTAAAGAGATCATTGGAATTCTCTTTTTTAAAAAAAAAAACTTTTCATATTGCAAAGCATATTTGAAAAGCTCCAATGCTGACCCTAACACATGGCCTCCCGTAGTGTAACAAATTCTCCAGTCCAGCAAAGGCCTTGTCCCAAGGCTGCTGTATTACACAGATACAACCTGGAAGTTTATTCAGATAGCTCATTGTTCCTGCTTTAAATGGTCACGTTTGGTTGTTTGTTCGTTTTGCTTTGGCTAATTATCTAAAACATTTCTTCTATAATCCTATTATAATGAATTCATGAATGTTTGAAAGGAATGCAGGGTGGAAAATCAGCACTACAGTGTTGTAATCTCTGTCTCTCATAAGCGCATTGTTCAGGCTTTACTCCCACCTGACAGCATAGAACTAATGGATTTAGTCTTGTCTATTGTTCGAGTATTGTATAAATATATAAGTTTTCTCTTTGGCGTTCTGGTCAATACTCACCCCTCAACATCACAAAAATAATGTGGTTGTAAATATAAAGTGGAATCTGTATGTGTGTATAAATTAGCTGCTGCATTTCCTATAACAATGAAGGCAGCTAATCAAATACCAGGATATCTTGATGTTGCAAATGGCATTTCTAATCAGCCTGCTCGGATTATTACACAACCTTTGGAGCAAGTGGAATTTGAACCTGAGCCTCCTGACCTGGAGGTAGGGACACTACCACTGCACCATAAGAACCCAAGGTACTATATGAATGTGCATTCTTTTCATATGACAAGTTAGGCAAGGTTTCATGAAATGGATGTTTTATGTATATGGTGGTACTGCACTCAGCTGACTTTTTACTTGTCTTCTGTATGCCTGGAGTTAGGCAATTGCCTTTGGCTCTGATGGTGGTAAGCTCCATGACCTCTATATGGTTCATTGTTGAGGCTAGTGAATATTTATTGTTGGAGTCTGGCAGCTGTTTGGTCTCAACAGCGTAACCTGGTCAGCCATAACTAAATACAACAACTTGATAGAGATTCTGGTATCATGTCGTGCTCGATGGAACAAGCTAGTCGACGGCATTTGGAGAGTGGTGTTTATTACCATTGGGTATTGTTTGTTAGAGAGAGACAAAGAACTCAGATTGCCTTTCAGGGAGTTCCTGAATGCTGAGCAGGCTGTGTTTTGTCCTGTGCTTTTTATATTTATGTCCCAATTTGAATATGATTCAAAGGTGGTTGCTTTGGTCTGTGCAGTCGAGAGTGTCCAACTGTGATGTTGTTTGCCAGGATACCCGAGGATACCTTTGGCATTCAATATTAGATTAATTGAATGCATACAACAGTAACTTGTATTTGCATTGTACCTTTAACATAATGAAACATTCCAAAGTGATTGATAGCAGTATCACAAAACAAAATATGGCTCTCAGCCACATAGGGAGATACTAGGTCAGACATACACAGGCAGGCTGGTTAGAAAGATGTTTAGCACGCTTGCCCTCATTGCTCAGTCCTTTTGAGTATAGAAGTTGGAAAGTCATGTTGAGGTCTTACAGGACATTTGTAAGGCCTCATCTGGAATACTGTGTCTAGTTCTAGTTGTCCAGTTATAGGAAGGATATTATCAAGCTGGAGAGGGTTCAGAAGAGATTTGCCAGGTGCAGAAGGTTTGAGTTATGAGGAGAGCTGGATAGGCTAGACTATTTTCACTAGGAGATTGAGGGGTGACCTTAGTTTATAAAATGAGGGTTATAAATAGGGTTAATGGTAGGTGTCTTTCTCGTAGGATGGGAGATTTCAAGCCCAGGGGGCACATTTTTAAGGTGAGAGGAGAGAGATTTTAAAAAGACATGAGGCAATTATTTTTAAACACAGGGTGGTTCACGTGTGGAATGAACGTCCTAAGGAAGTGGTGGGTAGTGAGTACAGTTACAACATTTAAAAGACATGTGGACAGGTACGTGAATATGAACGGTTTGGAGAGTTTTGGCCAGGAGCGGGCTGGTTTAGTTTGAGATTATGTTCGGAATGGACTGGTTGAACCAAAGGGTCTGTTTCCATGCAGTATGATTCTGACCAAAAGCTTGATTTTAAGTAGATAGGTTTTATGTCTTAGAGGAAGGATGAGCAAGGCGGAGAGTTATGGGAAGAGAATTCCAGAATTTGAGACCCAGACTTGGGAATGTTCATAGGAGTCAGAACTTGGAGAGCACTGTTATCCTTGGTATTGGGGTTGGAGGAGATTGCAAAAATAGAAAGGGGCAAGGCTGCAGGTACATTTGGAAATAAGGATGAGAATTTGACAGTTGAGACGTTGCATAACTGTGAGCCAGTGAAGGTCATTAAGAACAAGGATGAGGAGGAAATAGTGATCACTCTTGGATAAGACTGACAATAGGGTTTGGGTTATCTCCAGTTTATGCTGGGTAGAATGTGGGACACCAGCCAGGGTGCGGTTCAGTCACAACTGGAAGTAATGAAGGCGCAAATGAGAGTTTCAATAGCAGAAGAGCTGAGGCTGGGACAAAGTTGTGATGTTACAGGTGGGAATTTGTGGTTTTTGGGTTGGTCTGAATTTGAGGTCAGAAACTACCTCAGGGTCAAATGTGATACCAAGGTTGTGAACAGACTGTCCAAGGTATTTTGCAGAAGTATTATCAGACAAAGTGCTACAGCGAGCCACATGGATGTATTAGGCTGGTCATCTAAAACTTGGTGAAAGATATCAGCTCAAAGAAGTAACATGCAGAGAAATTACAGCACAGAAGTTGGTCATTAGTCCGAACTTGTGTATCCTGACATTCCTGCTTCCTCCGTATTCCTCCACACAGGTTTATATATAGCAGGAAGGGAGAGGTAAATAGGCAGTGAGCTTTAGAGAGGGAGCTTAGTGTTTAGAAAGCTGAAGATATAGCTGCCAGTGGAGGAATGAAAGACACCAGCTATGTTCAGAGGCTGGAACCAGAAGAGAATAGAAGAGCAGAATAGAAGAGCAGAATAGAAGAGCAGAATAGAA